AATATTTGCTTAATATAAAAGTTTTGCAGTTTGTATGTACAAAATAAGATAGGTTCGCAAATGTGTAAAATTTTGCACACCGAAATGTTTTTTACTAGGCTTCTAAATACATTTTTAAATGTTCACCTATATTCTTTCATGCAATTCCGAAGACGAAATTATTCTATTTTGCGCATACAAACTGCAAAACTTTTATATTAAGCAAATATTGTTATGACCTGACGCAAAAAGCCAGTAAAAAAACTTTAATTTTTTAGCTTTTCTTCGTTTTTAACATAAACTCGTGAAGTCTCATCTTTGTTTCGATGTGCACTTAAATCGATTTATTATATTTATTATTCTATTCAACTAAAAAAAAGATTTCAATGTGCAAAATAATAATTTTTGGTCGGTAAAACAGACGAGCTTTTTAAGAAAGATACATAAACTCGTGAAGTCTCATCTTTGTTTCGATGTGCACTTAAATTGTGAAAAAGGATTTATTATTCTATTCAACTAAAAAAAAGATTTCAATGTGCAAAATAATAATTTTTGGTCGGTAAAACAGACGAGCTTTTGGATCCCCTTAAGAAAGATTTTTACTTGTATTTTATCGGTTTGAGAATAATTTTAATGGATTAATAAGATTTTGAATTAAAATGACATCAAAAACACGATATAAATAGGATAATTTTTACTTACAATTAGATAAGAAAAAAAATATTTTATCTATTTTTTAAATTTATATCTAATAGAAATTTATCAGAATAATGTTTTTTTTAGGTTATTTTATTTGCAAATTTCTTATTAATCAAGTAAAATTATATTACAAAAAAATATACAAACATACAAAATATAAGAAATATAAAAATTTTATAAATGTTTTATATATTCAATAAATACACTCCGTTAGACACTATTTTTCCGAAGCGTTTGGTGGACAAATGAGGGCGAAGAATCTTGTTCTTCAAGCGAAAATAGCGTTAAACAAAGCGTATCTATTGTTATGTTTATTTTCAAAAGATTTATATAGTATTAATTATCTTATCGTTTTAATTACTTATTCTTCTACATAAATAATGCTTATATAAATTTATATATAATAGCTTTTAACGTGCATCAGTACGCATTAGTGCTTCCAACTGAATTTATAAATTAAAAAATTACTTAAATAATATAATTAATAATAAATTAATAATTAATTATAAAAAGCTATATAAATTAAAAGCATAATAATTTGATATTGCTTAAGAGGATGCCGGATCGTCCTGTTTTACCGACCATAATAATTATATATTTGCTTAATATAAAAGTTTTGCAATGTGTACGTGCAAAATAAGATACCTCCCCACTCGGAAATGCATGAAAGAATATAAGTAAACATTTAAAAGTGTATTTAGAAGCCTAGTAAAAAACATTTCGGTGTGCAGAATTTTGCATAGTAAAATCTTTTTTATAAAGCTTCTAAACTCACTTCTCAAAGTTCACTGATACTCTTGGATAAAATGCCGAGTGCGGAGTCCACTTGTTAGGCACGTGCAAATTACAAATTCTTTATATTAAGTAAATATTGACGGCAGAAGCTGACAAAACTGTAATTTTTTAATTTTTTTCCTCTTTTTATATGAAATCATAAACTCCGCACTCCGTTATTATGTATACTTTGATTGTGGAAAAGGATTTGTTGATATACTATAATCAACAAAAATATTTTGCATTTTAACTAATATTCATATTTTGTCGGTATCCGGCATCTTCTTAAAATGCTTAATAATTTTGTTTCAAGAATAAGAAAAAAGTAAAAGCAATTTATTCTAAATATCTTCTACACGTTATATATTTAAAAATTAGAAAAAAAATTATTAAGAAAATTAATTTAAGAAAATTAATTTTATGTCACATGCGCATATACATAAAAATATTAGCTATATATAAATATTTCTCCCAAGAAAGAGAAAAAAAATAGCGGGTTATTTCATTTTATTTTTTTTTAATTTTATTTAAGAATAGAAAGAGAATAGAAAGAATAGAAAGAGAGTAAAAGAGAGAAAGATCATCACAATCTTTCTCCTCTTTTTCTCTTTAACGAGAAATTCACAGCGGCGGATTCGCGCGACCGTAGAAACTACGGTCGCACGAATCCGCCGCTGCGAATTTCGTCGGTAAAGACGAAATACCGCCGTTATCATCGGCTGATTCGCGTACGCGGACAGATATGTGCGAAATGACCAATCAGCGCGGACCTCGGAGCAATCGTCGATTATAGTTTGTCACATATGCGTTGATATACGTATATATTCACCGAACCTAGAGGCTAGGATGGATTCGTTATTTCGGACGCGAGCGACGACGGAATCGCGAAAGATGAATGAATCATTGGCTGAATCCGATGCTGTTCCCCGAGTGACACGCGTGATCTCGTGTTAGGATACCGTGACTCTCAGATCCAACGTCCGAGAGGTTGAAAGGAACGATAGGTGTGCGCGTCGCAAAAACTTTGCTTTGTGCGGTTATTTTTACAACGGAATCGCTATATTTTTGCGTGCGACGCGCTCTTAAAATAGAGCACGACGTCGGCGGCGGCGGCGTGCGTTGTATTTTTCGCACGCTTAACAAAGAGCGAGGAGCATGACTTTTGAGGTTACCACGATTCACGGTGGTCTCAGCTGATTCGCGAATATTTACTACCCTGTCGAGATCACGAGCCCTTCACCGAGGATGGACACCGCGTTCGAGATAATAGACGAGCCCCAGCAGGCGCTCATCCAGCGGATTTATTATTCCGCGAGAGACGGGATGGCAATCGCTCTTTATACTCTGCTGAGTAATAAATCTGAGACCGACGTCAATCACCTGATTAACCAGGTAAACCTCGCGAGTTTTACTCTAATCATTCATGGAAAATGTGTATTTTTTTTTTTTTTTTTTTTTTTTTTCCATCAATTAGTCGTCAATAATTTTAAATATCACTTGCTCGATTGATGATGGATAAATATATACACGTTACTGCAATACTTCTTTGTCCAGAATTGCAAAAGACGTTTTTTCTAATTTTATTGCAATTTCTAATTTTATTTGTAAAATTATATAGTTTTCAATATATAAAATAAAATATAAAATTATAATTATAATTTTTAATATAACATTATTGATCAGAAAATGTGTCAGCTGGTTGGATTTATGTACTTAATTTTATAGCAATTAATTATTTTGATACAATTTAAGTTTGTAGAATACTATGTTATTAAATTCTCAAATGTGTTATAATTTGACATATAAATATACATCATATATAATCTTATCTTCTTAGATAGAATTACTTATAATATTTAATTATTTTATTTATAATTATTATTAAAATATGCAAAGCGTAATCTCTGAAACAATATTTGGATTTATATTTACAGAAAGTCCTAGAAGACGAAGGACAAAGGTGTACTCCTTTAATAATAGCTGCACGTTACGGGCATAATAAGGTAGTTAGAATGTTACTTGAAAAGTTCAAACCTGATTTAGAACAGGAAGGTACAGTAAAATTTAATGGATATGTTATCGAGGGAGCCAGCGCACTTTGGGCTGCTGCAGGTAACAGCCTCACAGAATAATATATTAACAAAGATATTGAAATAAAAAATTCTGTTGCATTAATAGTAAAATGTCAATTGCAGGTGCGGGACATTTAAGTGTTCTTAAAACTCTCGTAAAAGCAGGCGCAAACGTTAACCATCCAACGAAAACTAATTCTACTCCACTTCGGGCGGCATGTTTTAATGGACGTTTGGATATCGTTAAATATTTGATTGACCATCAAGCGGACATAAATATTCCCAATACGTTTAACAACACTTGTCTCATGATAGCATCGTACAAAGGACATCTTGATATCGTGAGCAGATTTATTTATTTATTATAATTTATATAAATTTATTATATATATATAAATTATGACATAAAAATTGTTTACATGAATTTAATTAAACCTTTGACATCAAAATTTCTTCATACTGCGATTCAGGTTAATTTTCTATTAGACAAAGGAGCAGATCCTAACAAGAAAGCATTTTGTGGAGCGACGGCGTTGCATTTTGCCGCCGAATGCGGGCATAGCAACATAGTTTGTGAATTATTAAAGTATGGAACGAAAATGACAAAGAATGTGAGTGGCATGACACCTTTAATAACGGCAGCCGAGCGAACACGCGCGGAAGTTGTCGAATATTTAGTACAAAGAAAAGAAGTGACGAAGATGGAAATAATAGACGCTTATGAGCTACTCGGAGCGTCTTACGCTAATGATAAAGATAATTATTGCCTAACTAAGGCGTACAAGTACCTGTATAAGGCAATGGAGTTAAGGTAAGAAAAATATTCGTTTTTATTTTACTACAGATTCTTTTGTACCTATTTTGATTATATATTATCTTTCTTATGTGTCCCCCAGGTATAGTGATATTAATAATATTGTATATAAGCAACTAGGTTCAACCGTGAAAGCATATGAGAATTGGAGGGAATGCGAAACACTCGAGAAATTAGAAAGCATCAAAGACAATCCCAATGCCATACATATGGAATCGCTTGTTATCCGGGAAAGAATTTTGGGTAGATATGCGTTTTTGATACTTTTATTGAAACGCAACTATGTATGTGATATGTGCTTTTTAGTGAGATTTCTTTTTTATCTTTTTATTTATTAGGTGTCCATAATCCGGAACTGCCACATCCTATAGTATTCAGAGGCGCTATATTTGCGGACAATGCCAGATTTGACAGATGCATAGATTTGTGGTTGCATGCTTTGAAACTGAGACAGCTCAATGATATATCCATTGTGACAGATCTTCTTCGATTTGCACAAGTTTTCTCACAAATGATACATGTAGGTGTCGATCTAGATTTCTCTCAGGTGATAAATGTATTGGAGGCAAGCATAACAGAATTGAATAGAAACAAACACAGAATAATATATTAACAAAGATATTGTAATAAAAAATTCTGTTGCATTAATAGTAAAATGTCAATTGCAGGTGCGGGACATTTAAGTGTTCTTAAAACTCTCGTAAAAGCAGGCGCAAACGTTAACCATCCAACGAAAACTAATTCTACTCCACTTCGGGCGGCATGTTTTAATGGACGTTTGGATATCGTTAAATATTTGATTGACCATCAAGCGGACATAAATATTCCCAATACGTTTAACAACACTTGTCTCATGATAGCATCGTACAAAGGACATCTTGATATCGTGAGCAGATTTACAATGTGTTGTAAGTTTGATGAAAAGGACTTTTATTTCTATGAGCTATATTTTAATATAATCCAATATACAGCGTGCTTTCGCGTGTCTCTCATGTATCTACACTCAGCATTTTATTTTCTGTAGTATTCGAGAAGTGTATCTTTTCATTTATTGCGTGATTTTATTGCAGAATCTGTTACATCAATATTTTCGTAGAAAAGGAAAACGAAAACGATTTGATAGGCGTAGATTATTAATAAAAGGGCCAACGTTGGATAATGTATTGGATATCCTTCATGTACGCGCGACTGTATATTGGATTATTACATGACAAATATATCTATAGAAAAATATATCTCTACATATTTAAAAATAATATCTGCATAGGAAGAAATGGAATCAAATATTACAACGACTCTATATATTCTAACGATTTTGACGAAACTTATGACGCTTAATGGAAACAGATGTGACGAGTCGGATTTGAGACAGGCATACCACTTGGTGCATAAATTATGTGCGTTACAGGTGTGCCTGAAAGACGGGCAGACCCTGTTACATCTTGCTGTGAATGCCGAAACTCCCGTCGACGATTTTCATACGAATGATGTCTGCAAGTACGTAAAAAATATAAAATATTAAAATAATATCGGCAAGATAAGGATCTTATTAAATAAAATTATCTGCTTGATTTTTAGATTTCCATGCGCGGCTACGGCGAGATTATTGATTCGTTGCGGTGCTGATGTAAACGCTATGGATAATGAAAGAAACACACCGCTCCATATTATCGTTGGTTATAATAAAGCAATAAGGTATGTTATATTAAAATTGCTACTGCACACAGATTCGTTTTTGCGTATAAATTCGATAATTTTTTAATATCTTTTTCAGCGATTTTGCGACTTTACATTCAATTATAATAGATCTTATAGAAGCCGGAGCGCATATGGATACTGTAAATAATGGGGGACGGACACCATATGATGTAGTTACCACGGGTAGATTTACAGATCTTATTTATCTCGATTTAAGTTAACAAATTCTACTACAGTGTTTTCACATGAACTCGTTGGCTGATATTCAATTTCTATTTCAGGTGTAGCTAAAATAATATTACGAACTCAGACCAAATTATCCTTAACATGTATGGCTGCCAAGGCAATCAAAGCTTACAATCTGCCCTATTATGGTAACGTTCCACGTTCGCTCGAAAGTTTTATAGAACTGCACGGACCCGGGCTGAATCAGAGCTGACGAGTCTCCGATATCGTCACAAGAAGAATCAAAGTTTTCTTGTATAAAAAGTATGCAATACTTTATAATACTCTTGTACAAAGTACAATCGATTTCCTCTATTCTATGATTTTCCCTCAACTTTTATTCTCGTTCTATAACAGATGCGCAAAATGAAAATATTGCGTTCTCTATGTTTTTCACTTGCTTCTTACTTGCTAACGTGATTTCGGCAAGTATAGGTTGTAAGAGAGCAATGCAAAAGGAAAATCCTAATTTAGAGAAAAATAACCGGCCTAATATAAAGAAAAATCTAGGATGATGGATCGCAGAATAGAGAAAATGGACTCTACATATCTAATACTAAATATATATCCAAAGTTTTGAAATTCTATATATCGTATATATATACTGTAATATGAAACGTCATACGTAAAATCGAAATTCCACAGATGTCTTGCAAAAGATATTTTCTCTTTCTAATGTGGAATTTATATATATACATCATTTATAAAAAATTAAATAAGAATTATTATACAATTCATGAAAGCTGTCCTTTTACAATATACTATATGTTTAAAATTGTCTTTTTATATTAAATATGTATATTATAGACGTGGTAAATAGCTACATAATTGTAACGAAATATTCAAATAGTGGGCATTGTGCATTAAAATTTTGCTCTCTCGTTTTCACTAATTTTAACTGTAATTACTGTGATAAATATAAAATCAAACTGAATAAACATACACATTTGAAACTATGGTCAATTTATGTGTGTTTGCGAATTTTTTTCGTGCGCTAAATTCAAGTTTAAATATTATCGCTTATTTAGAAAAGATGCACAAGACAATCTGAGATAGGTATAAAATGTACATTCGTGTGTGGTTGCCGTATTATAAATTTATTTAATATTTACACACGCATTCTCTGTATACAACTGTGGAACACTAGGAAAATAATGGTAAAATATATAAGAATATACATACGCACAAAATACTCTTTACAGCATATTATTTACACAATGTTTACAGACTCTCGTTTATTTTATACCTATCTTACACATTTTACATAACGGCGCTCGCCTTATCGATAACACTTCTGTACAAATATACACGTGTGTTCAAAAATATCTTTTGGTAAAAGAGAAAGAAGCAAAATAAATAGTAATCCTTAAGCAGGTACAATTTATATTCGTGGCGGCAGGATTTTACCGTATGTAGATGTACATTCGCTCGCGCGTCTTTGTGTTATATTGAAGAAAGAGAATGCACACACTTCGTGTTAGTCTCCGTGTTAGTGCGTGAAAAATCGGACACGTCGATTTACATGCCCAATTTACTGCCCTTAATCCTTCAAAATTTAAATTTTTAAGGCAATTGTTACAGACGTTAATTAATTCAACGATTGCGGGGAAGATTCGCGTATTCGTGCATGCACGTATGTACATTTACACGCGACGAACGCCATTTCCGGTACAAAACGTAGCATTAACATTGATGATATCTTACCGCGCGTATGGAGAAGTTTCTACATCGCTATGAAAAGTTAAATCGATATCAGTCAATCATATATTTCTGACACGTGAAATTTTTCGTTGCTTACTTACTGAAGTGTTACATTGTCTTTCGCAGTGACCGTAATTACGTAGCGATACACGATCTTCACCGACAAATCGTGAAATCACTTCGTGTGTTTCTATCATGCTATCATGCACACTATCGTTTATTCCATTTTCGGGAAGTTTAATCGAAATCTCTAAAAAAAAATGGTTAAATGGTCAATTTGCGATACGCAAGTACGTATAAAAAAATTAAAATACCAACGCTCGTACATGTCTTTCGTCACACGATGCACAGTTTTCGTCTTATTAATAATACATTAGAATTAAGCGATCGCTTTGTCGCCACAACACTTTGAGAGTTCGTATAATTAAAATCATAGATGTATGGAATATTGAGTTCTTCGCGAAATAGATTCTCGTGTTTAAAGTAAATTCAAATTCATTTCAAATACTTGTGAAGGAAGCAAACGCGCCAAGATAAAACGCTTCCATTCAAAGTCCATGATGCGTCGCCGTGTTTTTCTCGATGATTCCTCTGATCAGCAACGCGCCTAATAATAAAGAGACATACAATGAAACGCATTCCGCGAATTCTATTTCTGATTCGCGAATTAAGTATGCTCCATCGGTTTGCCTCTCGCGCATACGAATGTAATCGCGTGATCCGTGTACCAAACACAATTTCTTTTATGATTGTTCTTTATAAAACTATGTATTCGCTGACATAATCGAATAAAAAAAATCGAATGCAATAGAAAAGCCTGACTATTAATTGCTAGAGAATAACCACTGCGCCGAAAAGCTTTGCAAAATTTCGCGAACAATTGAGAAAGTATGAGAACCGCTGATAAGGAATATACGAGAACGAGGAATGCAGTAGAGTTACACATGCAGACACTCTAGAGACACTCATTGTTACTCGTGTCTTTCGCGTCACAGAGATTCGAACGATGCGTTTGGCGGAGATTGGGCGGATGTTAATTTGCAAAATTGTACCTCTCGATCACATCGCCTTTTAGGAGAGTCAGTCCATCATTTTCTCAATTGGATCTGGCTTATGACCGGGTAGCCGCTCTTATTATCGCGTTCTCAATAAACTGCGCTCTATTATCAAGAAACTCCACCGTTCCATCGCAATTGTCGCTTGGTTCTGCGCAATTCGCAGCTGAATATAACGATGATTAGAAGCTATCCCAATTGCTTCCTTTTCCATTCAACACGCATTCTTTGATTGCAGTTACTCTAATCATTCCAAGTTGATTCTGCTAATAATTAAAAGTTTAATCAAACGCTGATTGAATTCGAGAATTATATTATAAGATCTCTATCGCGATCTATATTGAATGAGTTATCTCAATCATGCAGTAAAAGTCAGTTTTTATATCCGATTATCTCCAAATCTCTCATCAGGATTCACGCGAACTTCACATGGATAAATCATGAATTTTAAAAAACCGTTTCTTCAATATGATATAAATTCTGCAAAAGTTTTGTCAGCACTGCCATCGAATAGCGATACGTATCATTTACATTTTATTTTACCATGTCGTTTGTCATGTCTATCAATGAATTATTTCGACATTTATCATGCACTATTCTCGTTTATAATTCTTTCTCTCTTTAGTATAAACAATTTACACCATCTATGCTCGCATGTATCATCCTTATTTGATGCGTCCGTCAAACAGCTGCGGCGAGCGCTACGTACGAAATATCAGTCCTAAGTAACGCACGGAATAAATATCTTTGTTCTTTTTCGTTCCACCTCCGCGCGCGATATCTCACGTCGGCGATCGCTCTTTCTCTTTTTCTTTCGAGCTCTACGAACCTCTTGAAACGAATATGACCCCTCCATCTATCTCGCCGACTGTAAATGCCACCGTGGAGCTTCAGCGGCAGCCGCATCCGAGGACCGCCATGTCCTGGTAATTCTTTAGCACTACTTTATTCTCCTCGTCAAGATAGAGCATCGATATCGAGCTGAGCGCGGTCGGCACGCAACACGCCTTCGGCACCATGCTCGGCTTGGTCGAGTAAACGAGCGTCTGCACGATCGCGTGATTCGTCGAGTTCAGATGGTCCGCCAGAGGAAACGGGCAATCACCGTGGCAGTAGAAGGCGTCGTATCCGGGCGGCGCGACGATCCAGTCGTTCCACCCGACATCCGCGAAGTCCACGTAGAGCGGATGCCGCCGGCAATTCTCCCGGCCGTCCTTCCGCCGATTCTTCCGCAATGCCGCTCGTCTGGCACGCCGGTCCATTATCCGTTCCGCGGACGCCATCTCGTAGTGGCCGTCGTCCATGTACGTGAAGAGCATCGGTCGCTTCACGACCCACGCGTCCTTGTGCTCGTCGGCACCCCGTTTCAGCCGCACGTGTTCACGCGTGCGCGCGTGCACGCCGGTCACGTGGACCAGCAACCCGTGATTGTCACGGTGGTTCCGCAACCACCTCTCCACAGCCGGATGTACGTCCAGGCTAATCGTCGCGTTCTTCGTCGTGTCGATCACCTTGCTGTCGATCAGCCGTAACATCGGCTTGCTGTGACCCTTCACACCGGGCCGTACTATATCGTACACCAACACCCGGCCATGCTTATCAGATCCGTCCTCGATGTCCGACACCGCGACGCGCGACAGGCTCAATTGTGCCGCCTGTAACGTCTCGGCAGAAGGTATCCTGCTTAGATTGAAGGACAGCCGGAAACGATTCGGAGATGTGAACTTGTCATCCACCTCGCTCTCTGGAAAGAGATGATAAAGACGTTATTATACAGATATATTCAAAGTTGAGAGATTGGGATATATGTATATATATGTATTGTTCACGCGTGTGAACCGATTTAGTTATAAATTAATCAGATTTAAAAATATAAATACATATACGATACAATGTGATAAACTCTTCTCTTTCTGTGACTTCAAAAATAGAATCTTATAATTAAATAAAAAATGAGAATTTTTTCCGTTCTTTAATGGCAAAACAAAGCAAATTGATTCAACATACGAAGCAGATCGTTAAAATAAAATTGAGATATTTTCCGTACAACTTTTTAAGGCATATTATCTCATAGGTCGCAATCGAATTAAAAATAGATCACCGGTTTTACAGGAAGGCTGCTCATAAATTCAAAGGTGGTGATTCTCTAAATTTCTTCCTCGTTGTATTTATCAAAAACCATGTGTGTTTAGTATCTTACAACATCTATAAATTAATAAGGAGTGCCATCGAAATAATTTTCACGTGACCTACGCAAATATATTTTACGAGACACGTACGTAATTTAACTTATGCGCTTCTCCGAAAATAGCTAATATAAAATTGAATGCACGTAAGATGACGCAGTTGTGTTCCTCGAACGACTCGAAAACAGTGGATTGCAGTCGCAGTTTGTGTAATACGTATGTAAATTTCGTAAGAGAGCCGATGTGTTCCTAACACACACACACACATACACTCACGTACACATACATATATCGCTGCGTGTCGAGCATACTATTGTAGATTCTAGCAATCTCTGTGGGGAAGCAAAGCGAATAGCAGAAATATTAAAGAACTTCTTATATATTAAAGAGCTTTTGTACAATTCAGTCTAAATTTTTTAATTAATTTCCTACACGTACGAAAGAGTGAACAAATTTAATAATTTACAATTATGTTAAATTTTATATCAAAAGTATTTTTTTTTTTTTTTTTCGATATAATATACATTAACAAATATATCCAGAATATTAATTACATTTATTATTTAACGTTTTCAGTCCTCGCATCCCCCTGATTTTATAGATCATATATAATCTCGCAAAGAACTTCAACTTTAATTATGACAGATTTTAGTTTTTCCATCTATTTTTTCCAGACATGTTAAATTATATAAAAGTCATCTATTTTAACGGGATTATACAAAATTTCGATGGCTCGAAAAATTTTAAACTCGGTTTATATAAAATGTCACCCCTCATTAAAAAGTTTCTGTTAAAACCAATATTATTTCGATTGTGTTGGAGACATTTTATTTATAACAAGAAAATCGAAATAAAACGTCGTTGAAGTATAAAATTATTCAAAAATAAAATTGGGGTTGATAACGTCAGTCCTCGATTCCTTCGTATTCTCGGCTTCCAATTTGAAGCGACGCGTTTCATCGAGCACGTATAGCCTTCATCGCGAAACACGATAAACACCTTCGTCAGGATATGAACGTCTTTGTTAAAAAACCATTAGGCTCCTCGCGATACGGCCAGCCACTTTCCATTACGCATCCTTCTTAAATTGCTCTTAGCACTTTCTCCATACGTTATGTCATCCCCTTGAGTGCTTCATCTAGCACTTTAGTAGCGCGGAATTGTCTCGAATATAGGCGAAGCTATTCTCACCGCAGAGACTCTCGCCTCACAGGGTCGGAATGTCTTGGATTCATCCAAGCCCTTTATATCCGGATGTGAATCATTTGAACGGAAGATGGACCTCCCGAGAGCGAGAAAGGTAACGACGGCTGTCCGAGAGGTCC